AGATAGATAGATAGATAGATAGATAGATAGATAGATAGATAGATAGACAGACAGACAGACAGATGGATACTTTATTGATCTCAAAGGAAATTATGTGGTGGTCTGTAGCTCCCATTCATACAAACTAAATGAAAAAAGAAATATATCAACACTAAAAGAGTAGATCAAGCACCAACTATGTTAAGGGACATAACCCAAGTAGGTATCTCTGGAGACAAATTCAGAAGGCGCATCTGGAAGGCCACATCTGATTGGACAATAAAACAATGGGTTTTATCTGGAGAGTCACACATGATTGGACGATAGAAAAATGGGCGTATCCAGAGGGTCATATCTGATTGGATGATAGTAAAATGGGCGTGTCTGGAGGACCTCATTTGATTGGACGATAAAAACATGGGCGTATCTGGAGGGCCACATCTGATTGGACGGAAAAAAAAGTCTGAACAAAAAAAAAAGCTGTTTGTGTTAACCACAAACATATTATATCTAAAAACAAGATGTTATTGGTAGATTGTGTTAACCACAGCCATATTATGTCTATGGTGTTAACCAGTTCGACATTAGTGGTGTCTCCAAAACTTCTCTTTCCACCTCTCTTAACTCAGAGCGTCCGGTTACGTTTCAAAATAAAAGCAACATAAATGGGTAGTGGGGAGGGCTAAATGTTTGTTTTTTAATACCTAGCCATTACATTAAAAAACAAAATCCATTTCAGTTGTTGAATAATATCAAAGTAGTTACACTGTAGATGAGTGATTGTCAGTTTCTGTAAGATTGCTGCAACTGAAGCAGGTATTTCTGTTTACTGGTTAACCTCCTCAGCTGTCTCACATTTTAAGGGTCAATCCTACTCCATGTTTCAGCTCCTTTCATAGATCAGATCTCATAGAAGAACTTCTAAAGAGCAAATTTTGTTTTTAGCTTTTGTTTTGGGCAGTTTTCTCATCACAGGACTCATGGTCTTTAATTGAGACCAGACTTTTTGACAATTGGGAGTAGGTTTCGCTTCAGATGCTTCATATTTCATTGTACCCAGACCACACTCAAGGCAACCTGTGTCAGGTGCAGCCTATGACCCAAGAAATAAAAAAAATCTTTTTGTGTTTGACAGCAGACATAACGCTGTTTCTTAGAAACCTTCTGTTTTTAAAAAGAGCTGACATAACTTACCTAAAGAGCCAACAAATACAGCTAGCCAATCAGTGTTTGTCCTCTACAAATGCCTATTCTCCAGAAACGCCCACTTTTGGTCTGCGAGAACCCTTTCTCACATAACCAGCTAGCTTCTCTTATTCCTGCCAGAATTGGCCGAATTATACAGCCTAATGGCACAAGGGACAAACGAGTTCTTTAGTCTCTCAGTAGAGCACCTGACACAGAGACTGGTGCTCACTGAACTTTGCTGATGAGAGAAGACTGAGTTCAAGGGATGGTCCTGATTAGACGTGAACCTTAGCTTCTTTTTCAAGTTATAAAATTGTACATACTGTTTGAGATTAAAGACAAAACAACAGCTTAGAGAAACAAGTGCAATACTTATAACTTAATTGTACTCATTGTAATTAATTGTACTTAATTGTACTTTCATTATATACTTCATATATAGATTCAAAATGGAATCTTACCTCCTTCACTTGGTCCTAGAGAAGCTAAAAAAAAATAAATCAGGAATA